TTTGTCTCTATTTTAACACTAGAATCAAATAATTTGATCATTCTGGCATCGTTCAGAAATGTAAAAAATGGCAGAAAGCAGACGTGAGTCTCTGGATCCAGGTTCCTTCCTTTAGGTGGCAGCTGCAGCCAGAGCAACCAATTCATGGAGACGAGAGCTGAGCTTTCTCTGGAAAACAATCAGTGACTTTTAGTCAGAACTAATGCAAACTGTACTAAACTCATAGAGAATCAAATGAAGCATTCACACATGCAGATCAACTAATCTATCTATCAATGTCTTTCATTGCTAAGAATATCCAAACATGATCAATATGATTAGTTTAGCCAGATGAATGTACATCTGCTTAGTCTGCCTATTTCTGCTGTGTATAGGTATCAAAGAAGCTGAACAGGGATATCATCTAGCATCACATCATCAATTTTCTGTGCTAATTAAAAAACGGTAAACGTTTAAAAATAGAGAGTTTATTACATTATTAGGATTTGTGGATTAAATGCATATTCAGAATTATATACGTTAGTACATATCAAAGCTTTGTGCTTCATTTGCAGGTATATAAAAATGTACTTAAGTACAGTAACACAGTACTTGTACTTGGTTACATCAAACAACTGAATGATTGTGATGAACTCAGAGAAGGAAACTTCCTGTTTTGGCAGCTTCTAACGCCTGGCTGTCAGAAACCTTTGGTTTTCATTCATATGCAGAAAAAAGAAAGAAGAAAAAACTACTTTGAGGTTCCTGTTGTACGCAAACCAGGCAACGCTGAGATCCCAGTAGAAGATGATTGTAGACCTTCATCCGACAGAGCTGCAGCTTTTGGATCTAAGTGTTATTCTAAGTGACTGGTTAACACAGGTGTCACTCTTGAATCTTTTGCAGATAAGCTGGTGTTTGTGGGCTTCAAAGGTTTGTTCTACCCTGAATGGGTCAAACTGGAGATGAGCAACAAGAAAGCGAAGATCCATCAGGTCCTACCTGTTCCCACGGTAACCAAGAGGAAACTATGACTCCCAGACCAGCAGGGCAGGTTAGAAAAGCAGTGGTTCATCAGACAGAAATGAACAGATGTTAGAGAAACACTGAATGTTTTTCTGCCTCTCCAGAGTCCCTGAAGATGTTCCTGATGTAGAAGCTGAAGATGTGTGGAGGAGCTCCAACCAGAGCAGGACCCCCCAAGTTTATCCCTGAATGGTCCTCAGGCATTGACCTGCGGCCCCCCATGGCTGCTTTTATTCTCAGGGCATCACTTCTTTCCGTTTTTGGTTCAAGTCAAGGAAAAGCAAGATTTCCCAAAGTCAGAAAATCTACAAACAAAACCACACAGGTATAAAGGCGTCCATCTAAACCGTTTTAAATCTTTAAAACATCTAAAGAAAATCTGAGTCTGGAGAAAATGTTTAATAGTTGATGTCTCAGTTCATGGTTGAAAACATGCAAAGAAGGAAGGTTTAGAAATCACCAAGGCTTCCTGCTCCGTCATCACCTTCATCTTAGAGGATTATTAAACTGTCCAGGCTAGAACTTTGCTCCATTAGTTGATGGGGTTGCTGGTTCTCTGCGTGCTGCCTTAGACAACGCCGCCCCTTTGAAAAAGAAAACTGTTAAAAATAGAAAGCTTGCTCCTTGGTTTAATGTAGAGCTGCGCACTTTGAAGCAAAATGCTAGGAAACTGGAGAGAAAATATCACTCCACAGGCCTGCGGGTATCCTACTGTTAAATATGGAAGTTCGGTCCCCCTGAAGGCGGCTGCGCATCGGAACTTCCCTTCCGGTACTTTTCCTGGGAGCAAGTTATTTACTACTCTTAACTCAAACTGGGTAAAACTATATAAAAAAGGGCTATAAAACAAGAGTAAAAAAGTAACAGCGTTTATTCCAGGTCGGGTCGTTACAGGACAGAGAAATTGCTTGGAGCTGGTACAGCTGGGGGCTCAAAAAACGTCAGCGAGCGTCCAGCAAAGATTGAGCCCCGGCCAAGGTCATCCTCCTTCTTATAGCCCATGCGTCCGTGTTTTGCATCAGGTGGATGCTCAGCTGTCCGTATCAGAAACTGACACGCCATCTATGCCCTGACCTTTATGCATCTTGCCTCTTTACCCCAGGATTACACATAGCTCTCCTTTATCAGTCCGGTTACAAGATGTGCCCATAGCCTGTGTATTTTTTAAAGACACTAAGGCTGTCCTGATTAGATGACCTCCGTACACACAGTGACATCCACCATGTCAAGGAAGGCCTTCTACTCTGTCTAATCTGACTAACAGAATAACAATGCACATGATGTATAAAGAATAAACCTAACAATACCTAGTCTGGAAAAATAGTTTACTGCTGTATAAGAGGACCCTTTGTAAAGTAACAG